TCAACATATGTACTAATACACATAAAAGAATATGAAGAACCAATTTTGAAACTGTTAAAACATTTATTGTATGGTAGTCAATATGATACTTAGCATTTATTTAAACATATATTTACATCTTTTTTTACACAAATTATTAAAGAAGTATTTTCTTTATTTAAAGATAAAAATGTTTAATTAATTATATTAGATGAATTTAATTAAATATTTTATAGCCTTTTCATTAAATATAGGGATAAAATGATAATTCAACTTTTATGTTCTGAGCTTCATGCTTATAATAATATATGATTAGTAATGTTAATGATATTGTGACTTCATAACTTTATAACATTAATGAATAGAACTTAAACTCTTTAAAATTTCATCATAATTATTCACATTTATAATTGGATGAAACTAGATAATCATGTGCCTATGGGCTATGAATAACCTAAATCGTATAGCATGTAACTAAATTTTCTAAGTGACTTTTTGGTTACATAAGTATCAATATTGTGAGTTCAATTATCTTATACGATACTTAGGCAAGCTTTAGTAACTTGTTAACCATTATAGTGACATTTGATATGCCAAATTGTATGTTTTCCGTAAATAATAATAGTTTAATGACTCTAGTGAAATGTAATGATTGTTGAAAAAACGAAGGAGAAAGAGAGAGAAAGGAAGAGAAGAAAACGAACCCGATAAGCCATATGAGTGCTCCAAGGAGAGATAGAAACAACGCGATAAAAGCAAAAGGCAAAGCAAACAACAATGCCAATGGCTTACAATGATAATAATCTACCATTTTTGTTTACTTCTTTAGTTTCTTCCACCTTTTTGTGAAAATGAAATAAATTATAGTAGTAATTTATAAAAAAATTGAAAAAGATTGATTATTTGATAATTTGATTCAAGTGTAGTTTTTTGCATTTGAAAATACTGACGGTTTTCACTTTTAACAGAGATGCAAATATCAAAACGATTAGAGTGTAACGGTTATCTTTTTTTAAAAGTAAAAAAAATAATCCTTTTATTCATTTTCTTAAATTCCATTAAAATACTTCAAACACTTTGTTTAAAACTTTTAACTTAAAAGATAGCTGTAAAAATTCATAAACTTCAAATTCTAGATTCGTCTCTAAATTTCATGATACAGTTTTGAAGTTTCATTTGAATAAGTTCAAATGAAAATCGTTTTCAGATTTGTCTAGTGTAATTTTATTCCAAACATAAAACTTAGAAAAAAGTTCATCTACCAACTACCATTACATTGCAAGATATTTAGTTGCGTCACTTCAGGTAGTGATCAATACTTGAAAAGCGACATTATGCAATGCTGGAGAAGCTCAACATGCAAAACAAATCTGTTTAGAGCGTACTCTGTCAGCATTGTTCTTCGATTTGAGATTGATTTCTTATGCATATGGAACTGGAATTCTCTGTGATTCCGGACCAGCTGCCATATCTTCCCAAAGTAAATCTGAGAGTGCCATTGTCAGTTCTCCGACTTCACCTGTCACGATAAACAATGTTATTCTTCTCTCCTATGCTTGCAAGTTGCAAATTATCAATGTCTAGCTAACTTTAGTATCAAGGGGTTTTAGTTTCCGTTTGACTGCTGTTGTTTCAATTTGTTTGTCTTACTTTCCTTTATTGTTCGTTTAAAAAGGAATGCTTCTCCCCTTTCTGCAACTCTTTAATTTTGATTTTCTATGTGATATGTTTAAGACCATTCTTAAACTCTGTGTCAAGCTAAGTCAAGTCAAAACCAGACAAACAAAATGAAGAAGTGAGGAAAAACGTGTTAAGTGAACGTACCATTTCCAATAGGTTTCTCATCCCACATGATGATAGGTAACAAAGGAAGTGTGCTTCCAACGTACATCATTTCAGCCGATTCTTTGGCCTCTTCGACTGTGATGTCTGTTATTTTGACACATTTCAGACGTCCCTGCTCGACCAACTTGGGTGCGAGTTGAAGAAACCTCATAGCAGTGCATCCGCTTAGGATCTTATCAAAGCTAGGCAAGATAAGCTCCTTATCAGAATTTATAAAAGCAACGTTCACGTTTGGACCCTCAGCGATATAACCTTTTTCATCAACCCATATAGATGAAAATGCTCCCTTATCCTCAGCCTCCATTACGGAGAGTACATTGGGAAGGTAGTTCACATTTTTCATAGTGGCAAAAAGAGGTGATTTCATGGGGATCGTAGAAGTTATCACTTTTACACCTTCTTTGCATTGTGCGAAATCTTCATCAATCACCACAGCATAGAATGCAGATGTCGGGCATTTAGCTGGGGAGAGTAAGAAGTTCCCAGGCCCTGCACTCAACCAATATCTCAGAGTGCCTTTCCTGCACTTTGATGCTGCAGAAAGTTGAATAAGAATGCTTTTAAGTTCTGAAAATGTAAATGGAGACGCGATCCTTGCTTTGGATGCTGATCTAAGGAAGCGGTTAATGTGGACATCCAATTCGTACAGATAGCTGCATTAGAAAACCAGAGAGTAGCTGAATCAACCATAGACTTATAGCTTAGGATCTTAGCTCTGGTAGAGGTTCTCTTACTTTAGTAACACTACGGATACATGATACGTAAAATGATTTTAGCATATACTTCCATATTATCGCTACTTAATGATAGGCACATTGTTTTTTTTACTTTTTTTGTTGGGGAGTCCTTGAACCGAGGGTCTATAGGAAACAATCTCTCTACCTCCCAAGGTATACACTATGCTCCCCAGACTCCACTTGTGGGATTACACTGGGTTGTTGTGTTGGGGAGGAGGGGGTTGACTTATAGGGGAATGCATTGTACATCGGAGTTGATAGGAAATGAAGCACGTTATTCACGGGGTCTTAACATAAACTTGATACTTTCAGAGATCAAATCACAAATTATATTTTAAAGGAACAAGACTAGATTCATACCCATCAAAAATAATAGCTGTGTCAAAGACGCCATGTCCTCGATGCACCATGTGATCATCCATTGGAATAACCATCATTGCTGGTTCAAGAATGATTCCACCATAGACACTAGAATACATAGCCGGATAAGGTTGCTGCTTCACTGAATTCCACTTCTCGTGCAACTTCTCAACTAACTGTTTCAGCAAAAAACATCTAACTCAACTCATAATGCACTAAAAATGTGGATGACTGTCAATGACAATAGTCAAAAAATTGCACATACAGGGGAATTTCTTTGATTCATTTTCTTTCGCTTTTAGATATTTTAACTTTTAACTCTTAAACACGAGTCAACCCTAGCTTAAATTTGAGAAAAAGAGCACTGTAAAAAAGTACCAAGAATCAATACTAAGTTTGTTGGGCAGCAATCAAGTTCGGTGGACTACATATATTTTATACTCAAACATGTTTTGGAGCACACAACTATACTAGAGTTTGCCATAACTATATGTCAGAGTTCAAGCTCATGATACGTATTGTCCACTTTGGCCCAACATACCTCACAAATTTGTCCCTTATGATACCAATCATTGAGCCCAAAAGCGTGTGTACCATGTGAACTCGGGTTATACCATGAAAAGCCCTTAACTTTCCTCTCTCATTCCGATGTGAATTTGGCTGATGTGTAAATGCACCCCTTCTTCAAAAGCGTGATAGCCTAAAAGTCTGTCAGTCCTCCTTTTTTACCCCTTCTAGTCAGCCCGCACTCCGCCATGGACGTCACACTATACTAGTTCTTGAACCAATTGAACCAATTCTCCCTCATCTGTTGTATCATGCAACTATTATCTATCAACTCTTTCAATATTCTATTCTTACTATTTTTCCTTTTAATCCCTATTTCAACGTTAACTAGTAAAGCTAAAGATTGTAAAAATATGACATTTGAACCTAACTCAATCCCAAAAGTCAGCCGGAGTAGGCTTGCCAAATCCATATATGCAAACAACTATTCCATTCCCCAATGAGACTCTTAACACCCCTTCACACCCCAGCCCAATTGGAGTGTGGACTCGAAGCCCAAACAGATGAACCCGACTCTGATATCATGAAAAAAATAAAGTTAAAGAGGGATTTAATAATTTTTACCTCGGCGGAGGAAGAGAACACATGAACTGAGAAATCTTCCCCACTCTTAGCCTCTGCTGCTACAGCTGCTTCTCAGGAAGAACAACACATCACAAACACCAAAAAGCAAATTATTTGTTGACATTTTATTAAAAACTTAAAGAAAAAAAAAGTACCTGATGTCTGATCAAATGAAGAGTTTGAAGCTGCCATAGTGCAAAAAGATTGAAACTTTACAAAGAAATAGATGGATGAAATGAGAAGGACCAGAATTTTATAGCTGCAGAAAACAGATGACAAATGAGACAAAAGCAGTCCATTTGGTTTGATATTTTAGTGTAAAAAACTAAAAAGAATCATTTTTTTTTGTCCTTAACGTTTGTTGGTACTACTACATTGTTTTGGAGAAGTGGTTTTGATGCTAAAGACAGAACTGCCGTCCAATTACTCTTTGTTATTCTGTATGATTCGAAATTGGAATTCAAAAGCCCTTTTTTCTACTATTTTTGAGTCATTATTGGACATAAAATTGAATGTATAATGAAGAGAAAATGACAATAATTGTGCATTATCAAAATGTATATACTTCTTCACTTGCTCTACCAATTCGAAATTGATATATTTACTGTCCTTATTTTACTACTATACTGTCAATCAATTTTGTTTGACGTTCGTATATAAATACGAATCTATCCAAAAGTTATGAATTTGTAACGAACCCACGAAAACCTCACCTAGGTCCGACTCAGTGTGAAAATGCAGCAGAGTGAATGAATAACGAGGCAAAAATATCTTGGGCCTTTTAAACTTTCTCCTCTGTGCTGTGCTGACGCATTTTGTTGAAACTTGAATTCTTGCTTTGTTCTATTCTTCCTTCTTGTTTGTTGCTGAAATTTATCAGCTGAGTTCTTCTTTCTTGAGAGAATTGGGGAATTCTCAATTCTTGGAAAATTAGAGAAAGCTGGAGTCTTGCTGCTAATTTACCAACAGCATATACTAGGCGATGTTTTCACCTTCAATTTGCTTTCCAACAACAATTCTTCAAATTCAGCCAGATAACAGAAGTCGGTTCAGAACCCACAAATGTAAAAGCTATACTGATGACAGAAAACTTCCCTGTTTCTCTTTCAAAGACCCATCTTCCTCAGCTCGTTTTGATGTTTCTGCAAGTTTTTGTAGAGACAATGAATTAGTTTGTCAATTGGAAGTTCCAGGTGATAAAATTTGTTCAGTGAATAGTTTTGTGGCTGATTCAAGTTTGCTTGGTCGTTTGCTTCAATCTAGTTCTAGTTTAAAAGAAGTTAAAATACTTCATGCGATTGTTTTAAAGTGTTTGAGGAGCAGTACTATATTTGTTGAGAATAATTTGATTAGTGTGTTGGTGAAATTTGGGCGTTTGGATGATGCTCGTAAGGTGTTCGATCATATGCTCGAGAGGAATGTGGTTTCTTGGACTGCTATGCTTAATGGGTATTTGAGATATGGGTTAGATGATGAAGCTTTTGATTTTTTCGCGGAGTTTGTTCGATGTGGTTTGTTGTGGAATTCCAAGACTTATGTGTGTGTGTTAAGCATGGCTGGGAGGTGTTGTTATTTTGAGCTGGGGAAGCAAGTGCATGCTGGTGTTGTAAAGGGTGGATTAAGTAATTTGATCTTAGATAGTTCGGTTGTGTCTTTTTACGCGCAATGTGGGGATTTGGCAAGTGCTTTCCGCGTTTTTGACGTGATAAAACGCCCTGATGTAGTTTGTTGGACAACTATGATCACTGCTTGTTCACAGCATGGGAGAGGGAAGGAAGCTTTACTAATGTTCTTGCAGTTGTTCTCTGATGGTTTTGATGCTAACGAGTTTACTGTCTGCAGTATCTTGAATGCGTGTGGGGAGGAGAGGGAGTTAAAATTCGGGAAGCAACTACATGCTGCAGTTATTAAGAACAGATTTAGAATGGATGTCTTCATAGGCACCTCATTGGTAGATATGTACGCAAAGTGTAGTAAGATAGATGATGCTAGGACAGTGTTTGATGGGATGGGAAAAAGGAACACGGTGACTTGGACGTCTATTATTGCAGGATATGCACGTAATGGTCACGCAGAAGAGGCCATAAGACTCTTTCGGATAATGAAAAGGCGAAAGATCTTTGCTAATAACTTGACTATGGTAAGCATCCTTCGAGCTTGTGGCCTACTTAGAGCTTTACCAACTGGAAAGGAAGTGCATGCACAAATTATCAAGAATTCTCTCCAAGATAATATTTATTTAGGAAGTACATTAGTGTGGCTTTATTGCAAATGCAGTGAAAATTCTACAGCACATAAGGTCCTTCAGGAAATGCCTATTAGGGATGTAGTTTCATGGACTGCGATGATTTCTGGTTGTGCCCATTTAGGACATGAGTACGAGGCTCTTGAATACTTGAAGGAGATGCTAGGTGAAGGCGTAGCCCCCAATCCATTTACGTATTCATCAGCCCTGAAAGCATGTGCAAAGCTGGAAGATATCGAGAGAGGGAAGCTGATCCATTCCTCTATAAGCAAGACACCTGCTCTGTCCAATGTGTTTGTGGGCAGTGCATTGATCAATATGTATGCAAAATGTGGACATCTTCCTGAGGCAATTCAAATATTTGATAACATGCCTGAGAAGAATTTGGTTTCTTGGAAGGCGATGATTGTTGCTTATGCTAAAAACGGGAACTGTGGAGAGGCATTGAAGCTCATGTATCGTATGCAAGTAGAGGGTATTGAGGTGGATGATTATATCCTTGCTACTGTTCTCACAGCATGTGGAGAATATAAGGAAACTATCAAGTCCAAATCGAAGTATTTCTTGCATCCAAATAGTTCTATAACCTAAACAGATATGAGTCTCCTCAAGAAGCTTCAGCGAAATACAACAACATATCCAGTGTAAATGATGGTTTCGTTCATGTCTCAATGACAGCTGAACTCTGAGCGTTTCATGTTAAGAGTCTGGTTCATAGCTATGTCATCGGCTTACTTCTGGACCATGATGGACATGTCTAGTAGCCCCTGCCTCGCCTGATAAAGAATGAGGTACAATTTATCGGACTGTGCTTTTAGAGGTCCATCATATTTGAACGTTGTATCTTCTAACCTCAGTGATACTCTGTGTTGTATCTTCTAACCTCAGTGATACTCTGTATTATACGTAGTTAGGTCCCTACGACCGCGTATTGTCATATTAAGATCATGTATACTTGAACTTTTTCTTAGTGAAGTGATAAAGAAAAGGTTATAACAACAACTATGTGTACTAGATATTTGAATGTTAAAAACATACTAGTAACATTCATGATTGTCTTCAAATTTTTAGCTAAAACTATTGTTGCAAAAAACTTGTATTTGGACAAAGCAAATAATATCCCTTGGGTTTTATGCCCCAGCTCCAACAAATTTGTGGATTATGAACTCAAAAATTGATTGTACTAACTATTAACATTGAATAACTTGTACTCAATACAACATTAACATAGTCAGTATAATCCTACAAGTTGAGTCTGGAGAACGTGGTGTGCACCAATCTTACCCTACCGTGTAAAGGTATATGTAGTATACAAATGTGGTAGGTGTATTGGCATTTCTAGTGTATTTCCATGTTATTATTACGCTCTGAAATTACCATAGTCATTGCATGTATATAGCAATCAACTTTTAGCAAGCATACCCTTAAGGTGGGTGAGTTGGTGCAACAGGTAGTATCTCTTTTCGTAAGAGAGGTTAAACATCAATATTCTCGACTTATATAGAATAATTTATCTCATACTATGGTATAAATAGTGATAAATAATCCAAAGACTACCTAATACTCCTAGCATAGGATTACATAAACTTGCATTTTATTCTGAGATTAATATACCTTATAACTCACACCGAACGACTCCTTTGCAAGCTTGAAAGTCAATATCATCACTTAGAAGTGACAGATTCCTTCACCTGGAAAAAGCATATAAACCATATGAATACTCACACATTACAGCCATTAATCCTTCAGTTAGATGTGAGCAATTTATGCAGGGAATCTACATCAGCTTTAATTTTCACTAATAAATCACTTTAAAATACAGTTAATTTTAAAAAATTGTTCAGTAATTAGGGACAGCTGCCTACACATTCCCCCACAGATTAACTTGAAACTGATAATCAAGAGAAAAAAGCTGCATTATTACCTTGATGTAAAAACATTTTTGGAAGTTAATATTGCACCAAAACAAGGTAGAAAAAGTTAGAATTTGAATGTGGAAATTACCAAAAATGGGAAATAAGTCAACCATGAACATTGAGGGATTAGGGATGACTTAGGATATTTGTAATTACATTTATACATATAAAAAATAAAATATAATTTAATTTTAATAATTTAAAATAGCACAAGGGTCCGATGAACCCCTCGAATTTAGCTCTCTCAAGCAACAAATTGGAAAGTAGTTGACCAATTCTTTTTCCAGGATCCCTAGTCGTGTTTGTCTCATCAGGTAAGGCCCAAATGGTACAACAAGCCCAATAATGGACGATAATTTACGTAAAAATCTCTATCTTAAAAAATGAGATAAATGACATAAATCTCATCTTTAAGTTTATTTTTCATCATTATTCTCTATAAGTTATACAAATTCCTCATTTTCACGCATTAAATTAATATATCATCGCATCAAATTAATGTATATCGCGCATCAAATTAATGCATTATGTATAAAATGTACATCAGATTAGTGTATCATGTATAAAATATAATGTATCTTACTTAACGATTAATGTATCTTGCACATCAAATAAATGTATGCACTTATATTATTGTATCAGTTAGTGGATTTTTGTAATTATAAACTTATAAGGAACAAATAATAATTTTGCCTTAAAAGTATGTAATTTCTGTTATTTGCCCTAAAAAATGTGTCAAATATAACTCTTAAAAAAAATAATCTTTCTGATATCGTTAGCCTTGAAGCTAATATTAGTTTAAATATTGTTTAATCTTACCAATAAAATATTTGAACTATTATCTAATATTCGTAATACTTATTTTATATAAATACTCACAACGCCATATCTGATTCGCTCAATGTTATAACAATTAATTTAATAAAACCAGTTTGGATTGGTTATATCATACTCTAATAATGAATTCACTAAGGATTAATCTCAGTAATTTAATCACTAATTTTGTTGCATTTATATTTTTGTTGGAGAAAGGGTAATTTTTGTATTAAATGAGAGGTGATACATAGTCCAATATTTTCCTATTATGGTTGATTCTAATGGCAGCAAATCCACCACTTTTTCTTTTTTTCTTTCTTTTATTTCTGTTTTAGTTTGAAATATCATACTGTAAAATTTTATGAGTGAGAATCGAGAAAATTGGATTCACCAATTGTTCACGCCAAACAGAAAATAAATAATATTATTATTTTTTCTGAATATTATTTTTTAAATAATAATAATAATAAAACGTCGTAGTTGGAGGGCGGCGGCTGACTTCAGGTTACCGTCATTGTTCAATCTTCTCGTACAGTTAATTTTCTCGATATTTGAGCTATTTTTGTTTTTTAATAAAATATTTTTGTGAAATTAAAAAGTGGATTTTTTACTATTTGTAAGAAAAGAAAAAAAAGTAAAGAAAGTCAACTGTTTTTACCGATGTCGGAAGCCAAATTCATGGGACGGTGAGAAACAAGATGATATTAAATAACAATCATAATATATATTCAATATAAATTTACAAGAAAAAATTTGAAAAACATATTATATATGTTATTTTATAATTTTGTATATAAATTTTTTTCGATAAAGTTTTCTTCAAGTTGTTCAATTATAAATTATATAGTTAGTTTTTCCTCAAAGGTATGCATTCGTGACGTAATAATATTTCATACCAACTTAGATGTTCGATGTTAAATGTGTCATAACAATTCACTACATCAAAAATAATTATTAGCTGTAATTAATTTTTAATTGTCGCTAAATATGATTTTTAGCGGTACCTAACATTTTTAATACATGTCTCTAAACCGTTTAGCGAGCACTCTTTATTAATGTCAAAATTTATTGACGCTAAAATTGATTTTGTTATAATGATTAGTCCTTTTTATAATGCAAAAGAAAATCCTCTTGAAATTTCAATATATTCTTATTTAATTGTAATGCTCATTGAGAAATATTTTCAATTTTAACATATTATACATATCTTTTTTTATGATCACAAATTTAAAATCTTAACTGTATTTTTAAATATGAAAATCAAATAATTATATTAAAACAGGAGGAGCAAATGAATAATGTAAAATTCGAAAATTGAGAAACTTTGTTGCAACCAAAGAATAGAAATATTTTGGCTTTTTATGGTAACTACTGTGTGAACGGTAGCTAGGCTTGAATTGAGTAGCCAATTGAAAAGATGGCTCCTTTTTATATATCAAAATATACTATTCCTTTATTTTATTTTGTACTTATTTATTATATTAAAAAATTAATATATTTTTATTAAATTTTAAAAATCAAAAAGTATTTTATTACTTAGCTCCTAATTTAAATTTGTAATTAATTATCAAATGATGATACATTAAAATTTTAATAGTCAATGAATATATCATTTAATTTAGTTTTAGCTAATATTTATGTTCTTCAACTTAATTTTATACATTTAAAGCAATATAATACACTTAAGATATGATGTGGATATTAAATAGGAAGTATTTATCTAGCAGTTTGTTCGATTTTATAAAAATTTAAATTAAATAACACGTTTATATATTACGGAAGGAGTATTACTGATGGGAGTAAGTAATTGTGTAAGTATAGTAAGTGGGAGAAAGTAGCTATAGAATAGGTGCATGCAGATTGAAGAGATGATTTGATATAAAGCCTGTTACCTACCCTCTTTTATATATATATATATATATATATATATATATATATATTTTAAATATTTTGTATATGAAAATTTGATTTTTCTTCATGACAAGTCTAATAAAATCGTATACATCCATCCATCTATCTCTATTTATTCGTATTGATAGTGAGTGATGGATTTGATTGATGATGAGATCCATGCATGAAACTATTTTTGTTTTTATTTTTTAATTTTACTATCTATCCAAATCATGAATATATATATATCCTCTACCTAATTTTCATTTTTATAATTTAAAAGTATTAATGTATTTTCTATCATAATTTATATGATGCAAATATAATTTGGGATTTGAAATTATACTTTTTTAATCAATATTAGAATTACAATTTCGATCCTAAATTACGTTTATATTCAAAATGACATAGTATGACTATACATAAAGTACTGTTTAAAATGAATATCGCTCAGTTAAGATGTCTAGGTAAAATATTGGTGTCAACTTTATCGGGACGTCGACGAATTTGACCTTGATATTATAATAATTTCATATCACATGTGCACACATAAGTTATTTATAACCTAAATTACACATTCAAAATGTTAATTTTAAAATTATAATTTTATATTACAGGTGGGTACACAAGATATTAATAAGATGGTTATAACGATAATTTTTCTCTCCCGATAGAAGTTCATTACGGAGACATTCTAATAAGAATGTGAAAGGAGACGCAACGAGATATCACTTGTATGATAATAATGGTTGAAATAATATATTCTTTTTACTAGAAAAAAAATCAAAATAGAAGAAACTAAATAAATACACAAAGGAGTAAATAAATTAACATTTACTATATTATATTTCGACAAAGATGTTCAGATGACCAACCAACTTGTTACGGTCAGTACGTTGAATGACTAGCCCCACGAAACATATCCTTGAAATTGAACTCTCATGACTTATGTTTGCAAGCTTGTTCATTCACAATCGCGAAATCAGTATTTTAATTTTTTTAATACAAATATTTATTAAATTTGATTAAATCTGTATCTCGACTTTGACTCGGTAATACCCCAAGAAGTCAACCTATATAGTGTAGAGCGACTCTCCAACTTAGCCTTCAAAGCGAATAATGACAATAATTCGACGTAAAGCTCTTTTTTGGATTCCAAACGAACTTAGTAAAAATATTTACGAACATCAATAATAATTATATTATCATCTTGTTATATACAAAATAAAAAATTTGTGAAACCATATTGTAATTTTTTTAAAAAAAAAATTATACTATTGGTTGGACAAATATTAATGATAAAAAAAATTGACTATAAAAAGAGCAGCTTTAAAGCATGGGGGGCCGGGGTATTTCTGGAGTTTCCTAGTTTGCAGTGCAAGTTGCTAGATCACCGTGAGTTTTGTTTTATAATAACGGCAA